GGCGATACATTGAAAATGGGCCAGATTAGGAGTACCCTTAACCGACGAGCGTGTATGCGTAGATATATGGATGTGAAAGAGGCGAGAGAGGTGTGTCAGGATCGCGCCAAATGGAAGTCCGTAGTCTCTGCCTACCCCTCTGGGTGACAGGCGTGAGTGTTTATGTTATGTTGTTATGTTTTTATTCATAATTAATTTGCCTTCCCAGGCACTCCCTCAGCGGCTAACAGCCGCCTGCGCCCTCTTTTCCCAAAAGAGGATCGCTTCCGATACGGCATAAGAAGCTTTAAACAGCTAGTTGCCAGTCCCCAAAGGCGGTTTTAGAGGGTATCACTTAGGTTCCCCCGGTAGGCAGTGAGTCCCTCATAACCACGATAAACCGGCTGTCGTGGTATGCGTAATGCATTTCCGCCTCCCTAAATAAAGGGTAGCCCTTTTCCCATTGCTTCGGGCGCAAAAAAAAAATTCTTGCAATAGGTTGAGCTTGGTTTCGACGTCACTTCTATTTTTCTTTGTTGGCTTAAACACTTTCATTAAAAGTACCCCCAAATATTAGTTTAAGTATTATTTTAAATGTTAAATTCCATGGCCGAGTTGAAATTGGCAGAATTCATTACAACGAGATTGCCATAGCTAAAAAGTACTAGAAAGAAAATATTATAACTTTTATTTTTACAATTTATGCTCGTAATTTTTTTTTACAATAATATGTGATATATGCACACTCGCGCGGTATCTTTAATGATCGAGTATTTATATACCCATAATGAACCCTTAAAAAGTAAAATCCTACTTCAAGGAACTATAAAGAGTATAATTATTGAAAATGGTTGAGCACTATGCAGCTTGATGATCGTCTCGTTATCAGATCTTGTCCAAATTTGTATGGGACGATCCCTGAAGCACCTTTCTTATAAAGTACATACCATAGAAATCGGACGTGGTAAAGAATTGCATTAAAAATCCTCCTTCTTTATTTAAAGTCGGGTGAAATGATATTATAATGCTGCGTTTATTTTTTTTTGGAGTTTATGGCCTGGCATCTAGACCTTTAGGCCAAATGCTGCGTTTAATTGGGGTCCTAGGGTTACCAGATATGTGTTCAAATTAATAATATTATTGCCATGTCAATAAAAATATATAACAAAATTCCAGAACGAATCAGAAGCATAAAAAAGTTTAAATAGGAAGTTAATACATATTTAACGAAAAAATTTTATTACTCGTTGCAGGAGTTTTTTAGTGATTGAGTAGGAAATAGGAATAAATAATATAGTATGAACTAATTAATATTTAAGTTAATTGTAAATATTCATTAAATGATAATTTTATTAATAATACTATAATGTTAATGTAATAATAATATTAATAATTGCCAATATTTGCAGTGCGCTTGCAGATTTCTTGTTTTGAACAATTTTTTTTTAAATTAAGACCAAATGTACAACAAGAATAGCAAATAAATTGAATTGAATTTAATACTATTATTGAGTTATAAGCAGGTTTTAGATCCTGGAACGTCCCGTGTCTTGAAATACCGGGACTTTTTCCAAATCTCTGGTGAGTACAATAACTGTGTGCTTAATTTTCATAAGAATTGTGTAGTTGACTTGTTGATTTGCTGCTCTTCTAATGGTGTCTTAAAATTTGGTTGACGTATCATATTAAGTTATACGTTTATGATTCAAAAAAACGTGTGTATCTGTACGTATGTACGCACGTAAGATGTTATACTTCTTTAGCGTAACAAAACAAAAATAACAAAAATAAAACACGTTTTATAGATTCATATATATTTAAATAACTACCTTGAATTTAGTTATCAATTCTCATGAAAACTTGACAGTTGAGAGACAATTACCAACTACACAAGTAACAACTTCATAGTGTCGTTTTTAGGTGCCGGTGTGCGCGCGCATCGTAAAAATTCACTCTCATCATTTTTCCCAAACGCGCACAAAGAAGTATAACTGGTATAACTTCAAAATTACGAACATTGTGAAGTTGTAAATTTTCATACAAAAAGCGATAACGCCCCCCCCCCCCCCCCTCCGTAAACATAGTCTAATTTTCATAATTTTTGGAAATGTTGTAGATATAATGAAAAAGTGGGTCCGTACGTATTTATTTTAAAGAAATAGTTATTAGCATCTAAATATCTATATTTTTCACTTAAATATTTCCTCGAGCATTTTTATTATTTTTTTTAATTAAACTAAACTGAATTACTAAAAAAGAAAAAGGCCTAGACTAAGGTGTACTAATTCTAATGAGACCAAAATTGTGCCATTTCATAAAGGTTTATGAGGTTGGAATCTTTATCGCCCAAACAATATTTCCAAAAGGAAGTGTGGGCAACTGCATCTAAGACTTGAAACTTTTTCTTTCGCATGAGGTTCCCACCTTGAGGCCGTGCGAGCGATATGAAACAGATTGGTTTTTTGAAAATACTTACTCTAGCCGCGTATCGGCACTTCACAATCTTCATAAGAAATATAATATTTATTTAACAACCGGGAACTTTGATGTTATTCACTAATATCAAAATGTTTCAAAACAGTCAAGCAAACAGTCAAAAAAACAAGGAAACACGCAGATTTTTGATCGTATTTAACGGTTGCTTCAAAGTATCTATATACGTTATTGACCCTTACTTGACGTGATTTTATATTTCTAGCTTTATGCGAGACAGTGTTCGCGAACGGCTTGATAAAGCAATAAGCCGCGTATCCACCAAAAATGTTGACAACATTTATGTTTCCAACTGTTTACAACTCAACAAAAGTTACCAACATTTGTTTTCGATGTTGTCGTCAAATGTTTCCAACAAGTGTCTCCACCGAGGAAACAAATATTTGCAACAAGCGTATTACTTTGATGTTGCCGCCGAAAATGGAAACACGTTTCCTGACATTGTTTCAAGTTTTATTGTCAATACTAGGTAATTACAGAAATATTTGTTACCTACACGTTTTGGCAACACAACAGTTGGTAACAAAACTTTGGTGGAGACGCGGCTTTACTTTCTAGTCGTAAATCCGAAAAAATGTTTAATGGTTGCCCGAGCGGTTGGACGTGTGCATCTAACTACGTGCTTGTCGTCAAGCTGCTTGTTAGTTTTGGAATCTCTTAACATAACAATGTCTTTGAAAAAGTTTCATTTAGATATAAAAAAGTATGTAGATACATACAAACTTTTTGATATCTAAAGAGCAATGGCAGAAAAATAGCTGACAAAAATTATCGCGTCTAGAAATAAGTTATATATGAAATGAGTTTTATTATTTTTCTATGATTTTTCAAATAAAAATGTATTTTAATTAAAGCCACAGAAAAAAAACAAACATTTTTGGGAATATCAAATGACTTAAATAATTTTTTTTTGGAGTTTATGGCCTGGTATCTAGACCTTTAGGCCAAGTCTTAATTATTTTTATTCGGTTTATTGTAATTTCCCCACTCCTTCATAGTATACTGCTTCACAATATGTTGATGCGTCACATTGTGCAGTTCTTGGGAGATTTTGGCTGCAACTTGATCCAGCAGACAGCTGATAGTTGGCGATGGTATCTAAAGGTGCCTATGCAAACAAACAGCTTATCTTGAGAATCCATCACCATCAGAGCACTTGTTTCACTGTTTCCACTAATAGTTCACATGCGTAGACACTTAATACACAAAATCGCAACACTTTTACATATTAAAGTCCACTTCAAACCATTATTTAAACAATAATGCAGGAGCAGCAAACCGCCGCCGGTCAATTTCCCGCCAAAACTCCCACTTAAATAATTTTACTCTGTTCAAATGTTGCCATTTAGTATATTCATACTATTTTCGTATATACTTTGTAAGACTACCAACACAACACACAAAATATTTTTATATTAAGTTATTATTAGTAATAACTGTACTATCAGTAATAATAAAAATAAAAGAGATATGGCTGAGAATAAGTCTCTTACAAAGAATTTCCTACAATAATACATTATCTCATAGTACTATGTAACAATTCCATTTAATGTTATGCCAACACTAGCTAAAATAAAATGTCACTGTTTTTTTACTGGCTTTACGGCTCTGGGTTGTAGCCCTTTTGAGAATGTCACTATGATACAAAGGCCCTGGAGCCATGCCAGAAATATACATTTATAGTATGTAAATATATAATAGAGATACAATAATCTAAAAACTCTCAATTATGTATTATGTATTAAGCTAACATCAAACAATCGCTGGAAGCATGACTTTTTCCAAGGACATAACCTAAAAAGATTCAAAGGTAAATATCTTTTTTTGACGCCTTCTCAGGACAAAATTCTTTGACAGAATTATTAAGGGATTGACGCTTAACATTTTAAGATATTTTTGATATATAGACGCTACCATTTCTTCTCAACTAATTTTATGTATGAAGGTCTGCCATTGCTCTTTGGTATGGTTGGTGTTGTAACTTCCTAGCATGGAAAATAAAAATTGAATTTCTTTTAATTTTCAAATTTTTTTTATTTGCTTATTATTAAGAATTGTTGATTAACATCATTGTTTATAAAACGTAATGTATATAGTGTAATTTTATTTATAAGAATATTGAAATCCCTTATTTGGCATCTTTTATAGTCTGTTTGCTAAGATAGTGTCGGTACACCCGGCGGCGCACTTATTACTTTGCTTTTATTTTATTATTTTTACTGTGTTTGTTAAATAAATGTTTTTTAATCTAAGTCTAATTAGTATACTATTTTATTCTTATGGTTATTTTAATGAAATACAAATATATAATAATAAATATAAGTTAGGTAGCAAAGAACCTTTCACTATGGCGATTAGTTTTAAAATGCCAAATTATCGATATGCGATCTTTGCTGTCGCGGCGGCACCTTTGACGTGGAAAGGCGACGCGACACAAAGGCAATCATATCTACGCGAATAGACACTGTACATTGCATGGAGCGCGCCAAGATGTGTAGAGTGGCGTATCAGTGTGTGGAGTGCGTGTGCTAAGCAGCAGGAGTGGGGAGGGCAGCGCGGAGCTGGCGCAGCGTGCGGCGGCACGACACGCGCCGGCTGCCGAACCGCGGCAGGCCGGCGCAGCGCGCCACCCGCACGGGCGCCTCGCGTCTGTGTCACCCCCACAATACCATACAGTACAATACAATACAATCATTTGTTATGTATCGATTTTTTATAGAATAAAGTTGCAAACGAGCACACAATCCACCTGATCGTAAGTGATTACTGCGACTCATAGACATCTACATCTATCTTCAATAAAGACTCAGACAAGACTAGAAATGCAAATGATGGTGAGTACTAAGATGAAATGCTTCTTTTCCAGTAAAAAGGGTCTCCCGTTCTCTACACTCACCATACGAAAAACAGCAGTGTTAAGCTGCCATTTTACACTAGTATTCTGTGAGAACGTGGCGCTACAACTATACTATTAATATAGCTGCAGCATGGCTCTACCACGTAAAAAAATCTGACGGTAATTGGGTGCTGTGACCCATAGATATTTATCCTCGATTAAAAATTAAAATGCAGATTTTTACCAGTACAGAGGAAAGTCTCCGGTTCTCATCGATCGACATATAAAACACAGCAAAATCATGACATTATCATTGTCATTTTTGAGGGTTTTAGGCCAGCAAATTTCTCAGAAATAAGAAGAAACCTGTACCCAACAATGGTCAGATGGATTTTGTGCTCGTTTATTGATTTAATGTAAATATACTTGTATAATAATATATTGTAATATAATAAATGTTAATTTATTTCTTTTCACATCTATAAAATATTCGCTAAAATCGCTGCTTTGCTAAATCCATATATTAATTCAAAAAACAAATATATGTTTTATTGGTATTTTTGGTAAAAATACTATTTTTAGCCAATACAAGTACTAAAGTAACTATAGTAAGTCCCGATTCGACTGTTTCCCGAGCAGTCTCCCAAGAAACTCCCTTAAATACTAATGCTGTGCCATCAGCATAAAAATAAACATATCCACTTGTCAATTCCAGATTACATATATCATTTATGTACACTAGAAACAAAGTAGGGCCCAATAGACCTCCTTGAGGCACGCCATGTGTAATGCTTACATCCTAACTAATATATTCTACTATTTTATCACTGTATTTTCTATCATTATGATAGTCATTAAAAGTTTTAATCAACTTTTGCAATAGAACAGAAACTAAAATAAAAGATTTAAAAAGGACTCTCTTTTATATAAAAAATAGTGACAAACGAACACATAGTCCACTTGATGGTAAGTGGATCCTGTGGCCCCTAGACATCTTCATCTATCCTCAATTAAGAGTTGTCACCCCTGAGAAATAAGCTGGAATGCCTCATTTCCAGTGAAAATTGCCTGCGGTTGACTGCACTCACCATACGAAACAGCAGCATTAAGCTATTATTTTACGCTGCCATTCGACTCACCTGAAGAACATGTGATTTTCGACACTGCATCGCCACAGTTTTTTGCAGGCACGTGTTGAGGGTAGTCGGAAGCTTAGATACGTCTCGCATTCATCGAACTCGCTGGCACGCAGCTTCAGAGTAAAGATTCGCTTATTATAGCTTATCTTGGTTATCTTAGTCCAGGGGAAGCGGTTCATTAGTATGCTGGAAGAAAATATATAGAACTATTGGTTGAGTAAGATATGGTATTTGGATGGTTGATTTTTTTTATAGAAAGGCAAACGAAAACGACCGTGCAGCTCACCTGATGTTAAGTGATCACCGTCGCATATGTACATCTGCTACACCAGGTGAATTGCAGGTGCATTGGCAGCCTTTTAAAAAATAGTACGCTTTTTTTTGAAGGTCACTAAGTCATATCAGTTCGGAAAAACTACCGGTGGTAAACGACTCCACAAAAAGGTCGTACGAGGAAGGAAACTCCTAGAAAAACGTAGAGTGGTGGACCGCCAAGCATCCAGGTGTTGTGGATGGTATCGTGAGTTTTGCCGCGGTTAGTGAAATTTGGCGGCTGAAATTAATCCGAACAATTCCTTAGAGAAATCTCCGTGGCAAATGCAATAGAAAATCCAAAATGAAACCTCTCTTCGCAGCTGCAGTGAATCGAGCCGATCAGAAAGAACTCGGGCGTCGACGATTCGAGCTGCTCTACAATTTTGATCTTTGATGGAGCATTTTAAACGCTTGTGGTCGTGGGTGACAAGACAAATTGAATAACCCAGCTGAACAGCACGGAGGACTTTACACAGTTCAGAAAACCCTCTCAGATTTGAGAGGAGGCCTGTGCCCAGCTATATATACCAGGATGTATATAGGCAGTTTCTTTAGTTTTACTCAATGTTGCAATTGCGTTGTCCTAGATCTTCTGTCGACTATTTTGTGATTTACCTTCACAATCTCAATAGACAATCAAAAGCTCACTGTTGTACATAGGCTTCCCTCATAGAGTAAATGGAGCAATTTTGCCATAGTTGCCACGTTTGGTAGGCGGGTTAACAACCGCAGTTCTGTAAATGTTCTGTTCCAATAACAGTAAAACTAGTGGCGGTGTAAGAATATCAACTACCCCATATTATCCTGTGGGTGTCGTAAGAGGCACAGAGGGAAACTGAAACAGGAGATACGCAGCATCTGCACATCTGCCTGATAACAACACAAAATTATAAAAAAAACAGTCGTTGCAAACCTACCCGCCAAGTGTGGCAACTATGGCAAAATCCCCTCTATGAGTCAATCTATGGAGAAGGCCTTTGTTCAGCGATGGACTTTTATAGGCAGAAATGGATGGATAAATGGGTGATCTGGCTAAGCTTTGTTCTAAGGTAGTGGATTCTCTTACACCATATATATGGGCTGGATATCTATGGGCCACAGTATTCACTTACGATCTGGTGGACTATGTGCTCGTATGTCACCTGTATACTATTAAAAAAAAACTCACCCGTCTCTGAGTACGGTAACACCTCGCGCGCAAATGCCCAGCGATATATCAATATCCTCGGAGTCTTTCGCCGGATGTAGTTCCGCACCATATAATGATATCTTTTTAGCATTTTCAAGGTAGTTTAGTTCGGCTTCCGCTGGTGTTTGACCTCTAAAACAACACTTACGATATAATATACAGGCTATAAAACCCTATGTTATCCCCTCAGGGGATGAATTTTCCAAAATCACTTGTTAATTCTGCGTGGGATTCCTTCTGGGTAGATACCATTCTCTTACTGATTCCACCTGCCAAGCAGTAAAAACCTAATAACTGATTTTGGCCTAAACTGTCTCGTAGTTCTAGTGGTCGCGCTTACGACCACTACACCCACGAAGCAGTCTAGATCAACGCGGCAGTCTTAGTACTATATATAACGTCAACCTTTTTTAATATTTATAATAAGAGAGGTATAAAACTTAAATAATTCTAAATATACTGTGCTGTAATACAGATAAAAAAGTGAATATTCACAAATTATTTTCCTTACTAAACGTTTTAACCATTTAAATCATAGCATTTTGATCACTTTCATGGCTGTATGAGCTAAGATTCCTTTGCCCTTCTCGCATGGGGAAAATATGATTAAAAAATTAAATCAACTTTCTGCTAGCTCAGGCCACCGTCAAATTCTTCCGAAAACTTCGCAATTTTTTTTATAGAAGAGGGGGTAAAGGAGCATGTGGTTCACCTGATGGTAAGTGACTACCGTCGCCCATGAATAACCGCAACACCAGGGTAATTGCAGATGCAGTGCCGGCCTCTTAGAAAGGTGTAAGCTCTTTTCTTAAAGGTCCCTAAGTCGTATCGGTCCGGTAAAATCGCCGGTGGTAAACAATTCCACAGAGAAGTTGTACGAGGAAGAAAACTCCTAGTAAAACGCATAGTCGTGGACCGCCAAGCATCCAGATGGTGAGGATGGTATCGTGAATTTTGACGCGATGTGTGTTCGTGAAATTTGGCGGCTGGAATTAATCAAAAGGTTCAAGCCAAAATTTTGGCTTGAACCAAAAATATTTAATATAAAAATAATAATTTTCTATAACATCATACTGATCAAGGATAAAAAAAAATCCAAATTCCAGAACCTACAAAAACCATAATATACTGGCCAATTTCTACATAGACGAGTCAAAAAAAAGAAAAAAAATAACGTTTTTACTGATCGTAATTTTACTACAAGCGACTATAAGCGATACTCGTAAAATGAAATCAAACGAAACTCACTTATGTTTTCTATAAAGCTCGTCGACTTTGTCCTCCAAATCTTCTGTGAGGACCTGCAGCGGGACAGCCAGATGGGAGGATAACAATGCACCACTCACTCTTCCCTCTCTATCTCCCAACTCCGCTTGCAACACGTACGAAGCAAGGAGAGCGTGAGTGATCGTTGAACAAGTTAAGCGGCCTGCAATACACATTTAAATTATTGATATTTTCCCCATCCTTCATACGTTCATACCAGCTCGTCAAAAGCCCACTGCTGAACTTAGGCCTCCTCTGTAGATTGTCTTATACTGTCAATTTCACCATGATTGTTACGCTTAGCAGTCTGGTTCGCAACGGCAGTTTTATTATTATATTGTTACGAGCTTGGGGTTCGAGACAATGAAAAACTGTCGAGTGAATTACCAAAATTGACACTTTAATTACAGAACACTAATTACAACTCAAAACTAATAACAAAACACTATTATTACTGTTACTACTGATCACTTTAGTTCGCAGTTGTATCGCTTCGAAGTATTCGCTTGTATACAAACATCTAGAATGTTCGAGTACATATCGGTCCCGATATCTCTAGAAGGATCTTAACTCTCCTAGTTCTGCTACTCGATACTAGAGGGCGCTAGTGGTAACTAGTGTTGCCATGTACAAGACATTAATAGTGGCGCGCAACAATATTAAATATGGAGTTAAATATTTTATAATTATTATATTAAATATGAAGCAAGATAAATAGAAAATAATAAAACAAAATATATAATGTGTATAAAGCGGTAAACGCGTCAAGTATACTATAGTCGAATATATAAGCACACGCAGTACACAACTCACACAGAGAAGCAATGAAGTGTATAGTATATGCGCATGTACACACAAGCGATTCGTGAGCGGTGGCGGAGAAGGAGCATGACGGCATAAAAGAGCGTCATGCCGTTTGCCGTCACGGTATACTTATATGTATCGCAAATTCTATGAGACACATATTGTTAAAATCATAGTTGGGATGCTCTGCTGGTCGCTTTTCATATCGTTCGAAAATATTGGCACAATATCCTGCTGCTTGACCAGCTTCATTAAACTTCAACACTTTATACCTTTGTTCCGCTTTACGAGTATTGACAAAAATTGTTTTTCTCGAGCTGTCACGCATACTCAAATGGCATAGCCTGAATACGCATTCGCAGGCTGAAACTTGACGTTCTCTTAATATGCGCATGCATATTTTAAACAGCTTACGCGGGACGTCAGTTTCTTCTCTTCTAATTTGTTGAATAGCTCGAGATACTTCACCATCTAGGTTTGTAGGTTCTGATTTTGACACGTATTTAGCGATGTAATACGCAATCAACTCATTTGTACCACACGGTTGTATATCCATATTGGCTTTCCACATTTTTAGCAAAGCAGGACTGTAATTATTTACCCAACCATCTTCACTTTTTCTTTTCAGAACGCAAATGCGACCACCGTTGTAGATGAATTCGTTAGATGAAGGATCAATAACATGTGTCTCTAAGCATTCCGAGCGTGGAAAGTTGAAACGACAAACAGAATTATTTTTCGTGCAGGTACTAGTGTGTCGATGTATTTGACAATTTTTAACTAATTCATATAGTTCTGAAGTTTCTGGAGGAATGGCAGTACTACAGACTGAATCAATGCGAGCTATTCCTTCAGGTGTCGCAACAGACGGGTGATCTTCGATCCAAACAACCATATGCAAATGAGGACTTCCTCTGTTCTGAAACTCGATTCGCCACCAATGATCTTTAAATTTACCGCCAAATATTTCAGTATCAGTTTTAAGAAACTGCATTAGCGCATTAACACGTACCATAAAATGTCTACTCACAACAACTGGATACATCTCGATGAGTCTCTGAGTTTCCTGAATATCTATGTCATCTGGGTCAATGTGCTGTTTACCATCACTAACAAGGAGACCTCTTTTCATATCCTTCCAGTGAAGATCATTGCAGCTCAATGTAACAAAATAAGTGGGAGGTACTAAACATCTGATTTGTGCTATAAGATCACTAAGAGCACTACGCCAATAAGCAGCGGAACCTCTTAGATTTTTTTAAATATAAGTGCAGGTCTTCCACTCGATTGCCGTTTTCACCTTCAACTTTTCTAGCACAAGCTGCAATGGTTGATTTAACTCGATAGTACTCAAACATTGATAGAGCATAGAATAGGTAATCGTTGCGCTGAAATCTAACATCAGCACCTAATTAACGAAATTGATAGTAATCCAAAGGACTTATATTTACGGGCCGTTGTTCTTTCAAACCATTTTTACCATACGGGAAAAGCTGATACCATGCGAACTCTTCTGCTTTTAACTCATAAGCTTCATTCACAATATTATTATTCGTCTTTCTTCTGATTTCGTTTACATTTTCAGATACCTCTAGCTCATCTTCAACATCAGGTTGGACGCTACCAATAGGCAACATTACAGATGTTTGTATAGGTATAGTTTCAGATCTCAGATTCGAAAGCGGTTGTTGTACTTGTACATCCTGATGAGTGATGGCATCTTCCTGTTGCTGTACTTGAACACCCTGACGAGTGATAATATTTTCCCTCAAATGTACGTCTACGCGTGTAAGGGTGTACGCGATATTACGGGATCCGAGGCATCTTTTACAGATGCGGCACAGTTCTTGTAAGTTGTCGCATTCTATAACACAGGCTTTGCCATTTTCTGGTGTTGGTTTTCCTTTTGGGCCACAAGAATGGGAGTCAGCAAAATAGTATTTGTCTACACCGCGAAATACGCTAACAGATTTATTTGACGCTGTCAATATTCCTGAAGAATGACTATCAAATAATCTATTTAAAGCTTTATGTAATGTAATGCCGATATTATTGGTATTTACAGAATCTTGGAGACTCCCGAATAAAAGAGTGTCTTCATCATATTCTATAGAAAATCGGCATTCATACATTTGTAAACTTTGCCTGACGATATGAAAGTTTCGTATCTCTAAATATCCTGTTACATCCAGTTCAGTAGGATCAAGCTGGGTACGAATCCAGCAATATAAGGAGTCACCCGCTAACATATTAGCATTCAGAATATTGACGTCCCATTGATTAGGGCTTAGGATTGCAGCTCGGACAATGTTCGCCAACGACATAGCACTACATTGTACACCAGCATATCGCGAAGTAAAGACGTTGTAGTCACCTTGATGCCATGAAGCTCGAATAATTCTTGCAACATTATTAATTGGAATGAATGAATTTCGAATTTCATTTTCATTCCTTTCGGACGCTTCATCTTCAGACAATTCGGGCACACTAAGTCGTACTAACTCCTGGTCACTAATTTGGGCATTGTCGTCAATACGTACATCTTTGTAAAGCGGGTTATTTCTGATTAACCATCTTAAAGCACTATAGACTTTTTCGCGACATATTGTGAATTCCCTGGTGATGTTCAAATTTTCTAATCGTTCGGTTACTACAATAATGCCTACCTGGCTTGCAGATCTTGGTAGCATACTAGGCAGTCTTTCACTGACTTCAAAGATATCTTGGGCAAATAAAACTGCCTGTCCGCGAAAACCGTACTGCCCATAGAGGCCACTAAATTTCACGATTTTAACAAAGGGAATTATTCTGTACAGCAAACGTTGTTCCGCCTGTGTCAATGTTTGAATAACGTCTGGTATAGAACCTGGATCCAGATTATTCCAGTAAGCTTTTGGTGGTGCTGTTGTTTTATTACTAGTAACATGTGTTTGACAGCGGGAACATAATAACAATGATATTTTCGAAGTTAACTCCACAGGTAAGTATGTTAATGCAGCAGCGTTGTACCGAACTGTACGAACTTGATTAGGATAACAACGTTTGGTACAAATATCACAAACATGTATACAAATTGTGTTAATAGCATTCTCGAATGCCTGCAGATTATTAGCTCTGCATTGCTGGGTACGCTCTCGTTGTTTATTTAACCTCGTATCGCGATGTTCAGGCGTTTCTGAACCCAACTGCTGTCTTTGTCTTTCACGGCTTTGTATTAATCTAACTTCATATTCTTCAGGCGTTTCTGACGCTACCATCTGTGTATATCGCTCCCGTTGTTTTGTTAACCTGGCTTCATATTCTTCAGGCGTTTCTGACGCTATCATCTGTGTGTATCGCTCCCGTTGTTTTGTTAACCTGGCTTCATATTCTTCAGGCGTTTCTGACGCTATCATCTGTGTGTATCGCTCACGTTGCTTTGTTAACCTGGCTTCATATTCTTCAGGCGTTTCTGACGCCGTCATTTGTGTATATCGCTGACGTTGCTTTTTTAACCTGGCCTCATATTGCTCAGGTGTTTTTGACGCTAATTGTTCCCGTCGTTTCTGTAATCGACTATTTCTATCAACTTCACTTTCTTTAGCTCGTTTTGCTTTATACTTTTCTTTCGCTTTTTGAAGCCTTCGTTTACGTTGTATTGCAGTTTCTCTTTTATTTGTGTTTGTATTTTTTATATTTTTTTTTACCATTTTGTTCCCACGAGTAATGGACATTTAAACGGTCGACCCCCCCAGAGGTCCAATAAAGGGGCAAGGCTATGTACAACAAGATGCGCCTGAGTCTTGAGGGGAAAACGCTAACGACATATCATTTTTATCCACCCTAATGCCATACAGTTCGCGGCGCGTTTTAACCTTTCACCTTAACTTGGGTGGTGTACCGCTAACGACGTATCATTTTTAGCCACCCTAACGCCACACAGTCCTCAACACGATACAAAATCTTGACTTGGGTGGTGGATTCAGGCTGGATTAATCAGATACCTAAATTACAGATTCAATTTCTAAATTTAAATCTTATTATTAGGCCGCCATCTTGGATTTTAATTTTATATAGTACATTGTATTATACTGGTTGAGCACTTTCATTTGATACCCATATTGATGGGATCGATAAAACCTACGTTATCCGCCATTTTGTAGCGGCCGCCATCTTGTATTTAAATTTTTTATAGTATATTGTATTCTGCTTGTTGAGCCCTTTCATTTGATACCCATATTGATGGGATTAATAAAACATAAATTATCCGCCATTTTATAGCGGCGGCCATCTTGAATTTATAATGATAATGAATAAACATAATTGTATTGTCATCAAAATCCAAAGTGTATACAAAATTTCAGATTAATCGGTTGACAGGAAGAGGGTGAAATTTGAATTACTAAATTTGACCCAAGAATAATAAATAAAACAAACGGGGTGAGCTAAATAAAACCGTTTAATAAAACCGTTTAAAAAGGGATATTCTTTTTACTGGATACTAGGTAATCCATGGTTTCACGGATAACAACGCATCTGCATTTTGATTCTTAACCGAGGATAAATGTAGATGACTATGGGCCACAGCATCAACTTACCATCAGGTGGACTGTCTGCACGTTTGTCACCCTTATTCTATAAAAAAAATTACGAGTCTGATGTTTGACATCAAATGTTACTCAAACATTCATCAGAAGAATGCATCGTTAACCGAATATTTGCCCAGATATCCCGCTTGGAGCCACCGATCATACAGTACATTTGTATAACATTACCACGTAATAGCCAGATTTTCGCGGAACTCCAAGGCTTCGAAGAATTACAAGGGTTCCAAGGAGTTAAAATAATTGACAATAAGCCGTCTTGAAAGGCGGATGCATAATATATCACGGTTCGTTGACACTAAGAATATACAACAAATCTATACAAATAAGATTGAAGTGTCTGTTTGTAATGTTAAAATAACTGCTTTTTACTAAATGCATATGAAAGTATATATGGTACTAATACGAGGGTAACACTGAAAGTTCTTAGCAAATGAAAAACTGAACAAAGTAGCAAGTTATTATTTTTGTTATATCTTTTCAAAATAGTGTCCATTTACATCAATAGATGTAAATAGACACTATTCGGATCGCATGGAACCGCACCGTTCGCATCCGATGGAACCACTGAGAAAAGCACTTTGCCCACTCATCCTTGGGGTTCTCTTCGACGGCATTTTGAAACGCAGCCACTGCTTACTCGGCGTCCATAAAACGTTTTCCTCAATTCTTTTATTTTATTTTCGGAAACAAATAAAAATCGCGGTGCGAGGTCGGGGCAATAGGGCGAGTGGCCCAGTAATTCCACGTCTGACGTCGCCAAGGAGTCGATTGTTTGCTTGGTGGTGTGCGACGAGGCGTTGTCGTGGTGAAGGAGGATCCTACTGCGAAGTCGTTTCTCCCGAACTTTTTCCAAGACAAGTGGCAAAAAATTGTTAGTGTATTATTCTGCAGTAAAAGTTTTTCGATCCTCTAAAACAATTGTTGCGTAATGTCCTGTCCTTCCGAAGAGCAAGGCCACCATCTTCTTTCCCACGCTTCGACCTCTCTTCACTTTAGCTGGCAACTCCTCGAAAGGAAACACCCAGACAGCAGACTGTCTCTTAGTTTCAGGATCATAACAATAAAACCAGCTTTCGTCACCCGTAAGTATGTCGAACATAGCATTTGAGTCACCTTAGTTAAATCTTTGAACCATTTCACGACACCAATCAACACGACGGAGTTTATGGGCACCTGTCAAATTATGAGGTATCCACCGGGCACAAAGCTTCCTGATCGCTAAATGTTCATGGAGGATTTTGTGCACTTAACTCACACCGATGCCTAGGCTTGTCCAAATCTGCTGATAAGTCACTCTTTTGTCAGTGTCTATCATACGCCGCACAACACATATGTAATCTTCAGTCGTCGCCGTAGAAGACCGTCCCTCACGCAGATCATCCGTGAGATTAGTGCAACCACGTTTAAACTCATTAACACAGTTGTAAACAGTGGCACGAGATGGGGCTTCATCGTGAAAGGCCAATCGAAGTCTGTCATAACTTTCTTGTTGACTTAAATGACATTGAAAGTCATAAAAAATCATTGTACAAAAATTTTCTCGTGTTAAATTCATGCTGACGTTACACAGACAATTTTCAATTGGCCGTGAAATCGTAAACAAATGACAAATTAATAAAATACATTCACAATAATATTGGCAAAGAGTTCCATTTTCAAAATTTGATCTTAGTTTTTTATTATATCGTTTACAAGTGGCCAGTTCTAAAAACTTTCAGTGTCGCCCTCGTAACAAAAAAAATCGGTTGTCTGTAAAGTCGGTTTACTGACGATAGTTGAACGTGACAACGTCATAAGAAAATGTTGCTATAAACAATTGACACCACATTCACTTTTCACTGCACTTCATACTTGATGTAAACATGTAAATGTATTATTGTATAGCAGCTGTCCATGCGGAAGCATCACTCACTCAAGTAGGAGAGAGACAGATGTCGAACGCTGCCGAACGCGGAGATCGATTGTGCCTCTTTGTCGCTCGTTCCGCGCTCTCACTCAGAGCGAGGTAACGCCGCATGAGTCATGTTTTATCGTGCGTGCAGCCAGCTTCATCGAATTATAAGGCTAGCCACATACATACCGAATTCCGTTTCGGGATTCCGTTTCGATATTCCGATTCTGGATTCCGAACGCAGCAAGTCCATATAAAATCTATGACCCGCCACACACGTACGTTATTTTTCCGTACGGAATTTCTCCGATTCGAGATTCCGTATGACTGCCTGTGCGTTCGGGATCCCGAACGGAAAACGCACGTCTTCCATAGATTTTGTACGAGTCGCAACACACATACGTAAATTCCGTACGGAACGCGCTCAGTGTTCGTCGCACAACCGGAGTGAGTACGTGTATTTATGTATGTCTTTAGATTTAATCTTGTAGGCGTATAGCTTTTCGTAACCTTTCATCTTATTTTAATTAATAATTCGTTGAAAGAATTTACAGACATAAATATTTAAAAAATATCTCTAGATAAATAGATATTTTTACATAATATTGACTATATTGCAAGCTTAGGGTGATAAGGGGATGCACCTAGTAAGAATGATACAGCAATAATGGAATCGCAATTAGAAAATCATCGTCATTACTCGCTGGCAGAATGTCTACACTCAATGGCTAACGTCTCTCAACTGACCCTTATTATTCCGAACGGAAAAAACGTGTGTGTGTGATGTATTCACGGAATCCGAAATTTGCGGGATTCCGAAACGGAATTCCGCATGTATGTGGCCAGCCTTTGACGTTGTCACGTCAAAAAAAATTTAAAACTTTTCGCTGTCTGTCAGTCTGTGTTTGTTCCGGCTAATCTCCGAAACGGCTGGACCGATTTTGACGGGATTTTCACTTGCAGATAGTTAATGTTATAAATAGTAACTTAGGATACTTTTATTTTGGAGAAAGAATTAGGGTTCCGTGCAAAAAATTAAAACCCATGAAAAGTAAATTCCACGCGGGCGAATTCGCGGGGAACAGTTAGTCTATAATAAATATAAATAAAATTGAAGTATATATCTGTAATATCGAAATAACTTAAGCTAAGATATGAATAAATATATTCAAAATTTTTATCTGTTTGTCTGTTTGTGTGGGCTAATCTTCGGAATAGGTGAAACGGTTGTGATGATACTTTATGAAGAGATAGAGAGCAACGCCTGGAGGTAACTAGGCTATATTTTATCAGAAAAACTTGAAGTTTTTTCTAATTAGAAATTCTCTCCAGACAAAGCCGGACTCGCAATAAATCAAGATCCCGAAAATATTTACACTTGTACTCATTTCACTTATAGGTACTTAGTTTCGAACTTAGTTCATTAGTTTATACTTTTCTACCGACTTCAAAAAGGAGACGATACTCAATTCGACTGTATGTTTTTATGTGTGTTACCTCATAACTTTTTACTGGGTGAACCGATTTCGATGATTCTTTATTTATTTGAAAGCTGGTACTTCACATGTGGCCATATGTGTTTATTAAGGTCTGAATAATAGTTTTTGAGTTATTCTTAGTTATTTATATTGAAGTCGGTTTTACAAAATTTTAAAATTAAAAATTATGAACTTATTTTTTACCTTCTATTAAATCACGTCGAACAGCCAAGCCCAGTTGGTACCTGGTGTTGTCATCGCGAAGTTCCGACGGCTCAGGAGGGTAGAATTTCACCACAAAGCGCACGTCCCAGGGTTCGTCTGGAAATTCCACATAAATCTCTAACACCAAAATGTTTTTATTTTCAACTGTGATAATACAACTTCTAAATATTTAATTATATACAATATTAAAAATTATAATAATAAAAAAAAAACTAAAACTAGAAACTTAAATATCATGTAGTCCTACTCTCCGCGGTATCGTGCCAAGAATGCTGGCTGCGTTTCCCCGCTGAATGGCTATATTTAGCCTTTGAGCGAGAAAAGAACCAGCCCTCTTATCACCAGCAGCAACGACCAGCCGCGGATGGAGTTCCTTTAGGAACTTCACCGCACGTGAACCCCACGGACCGATAGTCTCTACAGCAAATGGCACAAATATGTAGTCATCTCTCAGAGACTCATATTTGCGCCACTTACTCAGTTCAGCTGCCTCTGATGCCGCCCCGGCTCTAAACGAGGTACCCCTGAGATAAGAGGCCGCCATAGCGTCTACGCAAGTAGCATCCCACACAAGGGCTTTACCTCTCTCCCAAGGGACCAATGTCATACCGTCTTGTCTCCTGCCATCGTCTCTAAATATTCCACAAGGCTCTAAAACCGAGGGAACATTTATAGAGACAAGAGTCCTTCGGATGACATCGTTTAAAGAACTGTGTCGTGAAAACCTAAAACCTTTTTTAATTAAAGATGTTAACATCTTTAACAAATATTTTTACGGAATAAGTATGACAAACGAGCACACAGTCCATCTGATGTTAAGTTATAACATCTACACCCGATTAAGAATAAAAATGCAAATGCGTTGTTACCCCTGAGGACTAAGATGAATAATAATAATAATAATAATAATCCAATAAGCAACATTATGCTATTTTACGCTGGTATTTTGTGAGAGCGAGGTCCTTCTCGGTCGAGCCGATCCATTCGTCTCAACTAAGACTAGACATCGGCGCAGGAAAGGGTTATAGTGCCCGGGTGTATGCGTAAACACATTCAAAGATAGATTACTTAAAATCTAAAAATGTTACTCACTTCTGAATGTCTTAGACAATCTTCTTTCCAGATCCAGCCAGGCGCGTGAATCGCCCCGCTGTGCGTACAGTAATCCAAAGAAGTCTTTCTCTACTATATCCAAATTGTCACATACTTTGTCGAGGAGATCGGATCCCCGAGCTTTACGCTGCAAAGAAAACACTTTGGATATGAATAAATTAGCAGACTGGGTGTTAAGCAAAAAAAACTAAAGTGAGCCTACTATGGAAATAAGTTTTTCTCACTCCGTAAATTTCAAGAAGCTAAGAAGCTACAAACTAGGGATTAGGCTTTAAGATATCGAAAAATATACCTATTATTATAGATATTTCTTTATAGGATAGGGTGATAAACGAGCACACAGTCCACCTGGTGGTAAGTGGTTGCTGTGACCCATAGACATCTACATCTATCCTCAATAAAGAATCAAAATGTAAATGTGTTGTCACCCGTGAGGACTAAGATGGAATGCCTCGTTTTTAGTAAAAAGGTTCTCCGGTTCTCTATACTCACCATACGAAACACAGCAGTGTTAAGCTGCCATTTTACGATGACATTCTGTAAGAGAGTGGCCGACCCATTCATGCTACAACTACTACTAATATAGCTGCAGCATGGCTCTACCACGAAGCAAGATCTTGCAATTATTTTATATTTCAGGATTCTTTGAGATATTTCAATTTAAGGTGTGCACCTAAACAATCCTAGAGATACTACACCAACTATTAATCATAATAGAAATTCCTATCATAGATTTACAATAATATATGGTGGCGTATTCATCACCAATACACCTGACAAGCGAAGCTATAAGTACCAGCATGTTACTTATTTCTGCCGGCAAAATGTCAGTGCTTGTACTGCTATATGGAGAGCCAGTATAGTTACAAGGTGTGAAGCATTCCATCTTAGTCCTCAGAGGTGACAACGTATTCGTAGCGTTCTTTGTATGAAGTTGGCTGCAGGTGTCGTCCATGGACTGCAGTAGCCACTTATCATCGGTCAGACTTTTATTTCGTTTGTCACTTCAGTGTTATAATAAAATACTTTCTTTTTCTGTGAAATCAACATTCCACTTTATATAAATTATCATCATACATATGGTATGGTGAATTGAAACGAAATTAAATGTGTACTGTTGTACATACATCTATATCCACGTTGATATGCTCTCCATCGAGTAGCTCGATGCGGACTCTCCTGGTGCCAGTAGGCCGTGACTCCATGCCGTCCTCTGAACTGGAACCCGCTAGGCGACGGAGGCTCTCGCGCATTATAGCACCTGGGTACAAAGCAATTTTTAATAAACCAGTGCTGGTCTAGAATCCAATCTGGTCATAAGTGGAGATGAAGCTCTGGATGGCTTCTAGATTTATTTAATATCCGGCTCGAAAGACCAACATTTTTTTTAACTAATCTAAGCCAGTGCTTGACTACTATGAAGCCTTAAGCACTTAGCGTAACAAAAGCCTATTCACTCTTCCCTTGAAGGCACCCGAATTCCCTTGGACAAAAAGACAGGCATTCATCATCATCATCATTACAGCCCTTCACAAGTCCACTGCTGAACATAGGCATCTTCTGCCTCAGTTTCCCTCTATCGCCTCTTATGACACACACGGTAAATATGGGGTAGTGGGTATTCTCACTCGCAACTGCACGGGACCTTACGGCGGGGATTACGGGGAGGTGGGGGGAAGACATACATTATGGCTTATAAATTATTATTTAAAAAAGTTTCGCTGGGTTTCCTGCTGGTTCTTCCCAAGGTAAACTAATAATACCTTTCAATAAATATTACTTGTAATTATTAATGACATAGAGTCGAATAAAAAATAATTCTATTCTATACAGTCATCTTTGTACTATCCATCCATCCATTAAAGCCACTGTTAAACATAGGTCCTCCATAGATTACCTCATAGGCATAGGCTTGGTTATCAAAAATATTCTGCTACCCTTCCTGTTTTTGTTTCAGTTTCTCTCTGCCGTCTCTTACGGCATCCACGGGATGATATGGGTACTGGATGTTGCTACACCGCCCTACACGGTAATATACTATCAGTTTACTCTGTATGGATCAGACCGAAAATAATTAAAAGTTGAAGATTAGTCCGGGTTAACTATGACTTTAGGACGTTGAAAATTTTAGTCCCTTAATGGGCAGGGGTATGAAACATTCGGAACGTTTAGAATATAAAAATATAAAACTCCGATTTTTTTTTTTATAGGAGAGGGGGCAAACGAGCATGCGGCTCACCTGATGGTAAGTGACTACCGCCGCCCATGAACAACCGCAACACCAGGGGAATTGCAGATGCGTTGCCGGCCTTTTAAAAAGGAGTAGGCTCTTTTCTTGAAGGTCCCTAAGTCGTATCGGTCCGGAAAAATCGCTGATGGTAATCGATTCCACAAGGAAGTCGTGCGAGGAAGAAAACATCTTCTAAATCGCACAGTGGTGGACCGCCAATCATCCAGATGATGTGGATGGTATCGGGAGTTCTGCCGCGATGTGCGTTCATGAAATTTGGCGGCTTGAATTAATCCGAACAATTCCTCAGAGCACTCCCCATGGTAGATGCGAAAGAAAATGCAAAGAGATGCAACATCTCTTCGCAGTGCCAATGAATCGAGCCGATCGGAAAGGGCTCGGTCGTCGACGATTCGAGCCGCTCTGCGCTGGATGCGGTCAAGTGGAAGGAGCTGGCACTGGGGAGCCCCTGCCCAGAGATGGGAACAGTATTCCATGTGAGGCCGAACCTGCGCCTTGTAAAGTTGCAGGCGGTGTGCCGGCATGAAATACTGTCCCGCTCTGCTGAGCACGCCAAGCTTTTTAGAGGCCAATTTGGCCTTCTCTTCCAAGTGACCACGAAACTGCACGTCACTCGATATGTCGACTCCGAGGATACCGATACTGGCTGAGGCAAGAAGGGGAGTGCCTTGAAAATGAGGAGATACGACAAAGGGGTTCTTTTTAGCGGTAAATGCGCAAACTTGTGTCTTCTGAGGATTAAACTGGACTAGATTTAGTTGCCCCCAATCCGCGACTTTGTCCAGCAAAGACTCGACTTCAGACACAAGTTTGTTCCGGTACTCGGCGACGTTTTCCCGAGAAATATTGGCCCGGCCGGTGTATAGAGCATCACCAGTGCTGTCATCCGCATAGTAATGAATGTTACCAGTTGCAACATATCATTGATATGCAGAAGAAACAGCGTTGGTGATAGCACACAGCCTTGTGGAACACCAGCGTTAATAGGCTTGTAGTCAGAACATGCACCGTCTACAACGACCTTGATGCTCCGATCTGCAAGAAAGCTGGTGATCCAATTGCACAATTTCTCGGGAAGCCCATAGGAAGGTTGTTGATTGTTGTATAAGTACACTAAACGCGATAAAATCCGTAAAAGAAATAGATTTTAACGGAAACAGTTATTGTTCGAGTAAAAAGAGCAGTGACCTTAACACTGAAGACGGTAATTATTTCTCCGAAGTCACGCGCGATCGATTGAACAATGGCGTTCCGTTGACGTGCTCCGGCGGTTCCATTAACTTTCTGACGGTTTAATTTAAATGTACTGGTATATTTATTTTTGACCTCGTAGCTAAATGGTCAAAGTCTCTCCACTTACTCGTGAGATCTTAGTTCTATCCAAGGTGTACCAACAGTTTTTGAAACCCCCGATAGACAAACTACGAGTGGGTGTCTTTGTTTTTTTTTATAATTGGGGCGAAGCATAGCATAGCCTTTTTATCCCTGAATCCAATCAAAAATTTTTATTGCTATCTCCTCTTAAATTTATTATTTGATCTCAATGAAACTAAGCATAAACAATCTATGTAGTGTGAGTACAGATGGGCAATACACCCACCAGGGTTTAAACCCAGGTGGGTAAAAACCCGGTGTTTTGGGTGTTTTGGGTTTAAACCCAGTAAACACCCAAATTTTTGGGTGTTTACGATTTTTAACTTAAATTCGAAAACCTATTCTACTTCTCGACCTTACCAAATGCTAGCTGGTACAGTGGGCCACAGTTCCAGCTACCCGTTTCCGTATTTTCTTTCGATAGACCAAGGCGACATGAAAGACCGGATATGGTTAGCTTGAGCTGTGGTCCTGCGAGTGTGTAGAAGAGATCCGCATTAAACACAAACTTAATATTCAGTAATAAAAACACGTTAACGGTGGTAGAGCCATGCAGCAGTTTTTGCTGTTGCACGTATGGGCCGGCTCGAGCTGGGTTAGTACCACGACCTCACAGAATACCGGCGTGAAGTGGAAGCTCTGCTTCCGCGTTTCATCTGGTGAGTGCAGGTGACCGGAGGCCCAATTCCCCCCCCCCATCAACATGGTAGCGGAATTACGTCAAAAACTACCCCAGGAGGGTACCAGTACCCCTGGAGAATCCCTCGCTGAGCATCCACGGCCATGCTATTCCACTCCTGAGCGTGGGTGCTCAGGCTGCCCCGCGTATTCTGGGGGGGGGGGCAAAATTCCGCTCAACACAATAACTGCTCGGGGCAAACTGAGCAACAAGACCAAGGCGACCCCTGCCACGCTATCCGTGAATTTCTGCAACATCAGAGGACTTCACTCGAACCTAAACGCCGTCCACTACCATCTTGAGACGGCGAAGCCGGCCTTGCTCTTTCTGACCGAGACGCAGGTGTCCTCTCCGGCTGATACTTCGTATCTCTCCTTCCCGGGGTACAAATTGGAGCACTCCTTTGTGCCTCGGGCTGGAGTTTGCGTGTATGTCAGAGAGGACATCTGTTCTCGACGCCTCGGCAGTCTTGAAGGTTCAGACCTGTCCATCCTTTGGCTACGCGTAGACAGCGACGACCATCCGCGCGTCTACGGGTGCCTCTATAGGTCCCATAGCGGTAATGCCGAAACAGACCGACTCATTGACCACGTCCAAATGGCTACAGATTCCTTGCTACAACAGGTCCCATCCGCAGAGATCGTGATCCTTGGCGATTTTAACGCCCACCACGCCGAATGGCTCGGTTCACGTTTAACCGATCATGCGGGGAGATCTGTTTATGACTTTGCCTTGGCATATGGTCTGACACAACTGGTTACATCGCCTACGCGGATTCCAGATGTTGAGGATCATACGCCTTCCCTGTTGGACCTTCTGCTGACCTCTCATCCGGACGGATATCAGGTTTCCGTCGATGCTCCTCTTGGCTCTCCGGACCATTGTCTGATCCGGAGTGTGGTGCCACTCACGCTCCCCTCGCGGTTGCATTCTGCAAGTTGCCGCCGTGTTTGGCATTACAGGTCGGCGGATTGTGACGGAATGCGGTCTTTCTTTGCTTCCTACCCATGGGGGCGGGTTTGCTTCTCGCCGGATGATCCCAGCGCTGTTGCTGACTCTGTCACTGATGTGGTGCCACAGGGAATGGAACTATTTATTCCATCATCTGTGGTACCCATCGGAGGCAGATCTCAGCCTTGGTTTGGTCGCTCCTGTAAGACTGCTTTACGCAGTAAACAGGAGTGTTATCAAGCCTGGGCTGCGGCTTCGGCGACTCGGGATGTAAACACCAGCATACTTAAAAAGAAGTATAACTTCGCCTCCAGGTCCTTCAAAAGAGTTATTGCCAAGGCAAAGTCAGAGCACATAGGCAGAATTGGCGAGAAACTAGTTCGCCTTCCTTCGGGAACCCGTGCATTCTGGTCTCTCGCCAAGGCTGTCCAAGGGAATTTCTGTAAGCCATCACTACCATCTCTGCACAGGGAGGACGACTCACTGGCCCATGACGCAAAAGAGACGGCCGACCTTTTAGGCTCCCTTTTTGCGTCCAACTCGACTGTTGATGACGGGGGGAACACACCGCCGACCATCCCGCGGTGTGAGTGCTCCATGCCGGATGTGCGGTTCTCACAGCGCTCGGTTCGCAGAGCTCTCCTCTCCCTTGACATCCACAAGTCGAGTGGGCCTGACGGAATCCCCCAATTGTGCTGAGGACGTGTGCTCCGGAGTTGGCACCGGTTCTAACGCGTCTTTTCCGGTACTCCTACTCCCTAGGCGTAGTCCCGAAATCATGGAAGACAGCTTTTGTCCACCCGATCCCTAAAAAAGGCGACCGCTCAGACCCGTCCAACTACAGGCCTATCGCCATAACCCCCTTGTTCTCCAAAATAATGGAATCCGTTATAAACTGCCACCTCATGCGGTACCTTGAGGATCACCAGCTGATTAGTGACCACCAGTACGGTTTTCGTCGGGGTCGATCAGCTGGTGATCTTCTGGTCTACTTAACT